AGGACACCACACAATCTGAGCACAAGCAAGCGACCACAAGGCCAGTTCACATGCAGAGTTATAATAGCAAGGCAGTACACTGATCACAACCTAGCAAGAGTAAACAAGCAGGCATAAAGATATATATAAGAGTACAACAAGAGCAAGTCAAGCAACCAGCAGGTGAGGCAGAGTGGGCACAAGCCCAAGAGCAGTGCAGAAACGGTGATGATCACCAGACCCAAGGGCCTTGGTGAAGACATCAGCAGTGTTGGCCCGAGAGGCCACGTAAGCAAGGCGCAGCTGACCACGCTGCTGCAGCTCACGCGCAAGGAAGTAGCGAAGAGCAATGTGCTTCGTTCTGTGCTCCAGTCTCTGCTCGCGATACAAGGCAAGCATTGCCTTGTTGTCGACGTACAGAACTGGAGGAGAACGAGGCCGCTCCCCCAAGTCGGTCAGCAGGTAGGTCAGCCAGCGTAGCTTTTGTGCAGCCATGGCCCCAGCGTAGATCTCGGCCTCGCAGCTGGAGCCAAGCACAGAAGAAGAACGAGTGGACCTCCACGAGACAGAACCAGAGCCAAGACTGAAGGTGTAACCCTGTGACGAACGCTGAGTCGTCTGGTCGTCGGCCCAAGAAGCGTCAGAGTGTCCTGTGAGTACCACTGAACCCCGTCCTCCAAGCACGAGCCCCATGCCCGATGTACTGCACAAGTAACGCAGTACCCTCTTCGCAGCATCAAAGTGCACCTTTCGGTGTCTACCGGGTGCCACGTAGCGAGCCAAGAGGCTGAGAGGGTACGCGAGGTCAGGTCGTGTGCACGTCATCAGGTATATGAGGCAACCCACGAGCTCTGGGTACGGACCACTCGGCTCTACGGACTCGTCCAAAGGTGGAGCTGAGAGCGAGTGGCCGGTAGACAGAGGAGTGGGCTGTGGCGAGGACCACGTGAAGCCGAAGCGCTGAAGGACCTGCTGCACCATGTGTGACTGAGTCAGGGTGATGGTGCGCCGTGCTCTGTCTCGGGTGATCTGCAAGCCAAGATAGCTCCGCAGCTCACCCAGGTCAGTGCAGGTGTGTCTCTCCTGCAGCTCCGCCTTCACTAGGGCCAGTGCCTCAGTGTCAGCAATAGCAAAAAACAAGTCGTTGACGTATACAAGGATGTAGAACGCCGGCAGAGTAGTGTCGGTGCATAGAAACAGCGGCGGGTCAGCAGTCGAAGGAGCAAACCCAAGAGCCGCAAGTGTCGTCCTCAGTGTGTCGTGCCACTCGTGGGGCGCCTGACGCAGGCCGTACACTAGTCGCCGTAGGCTCCACTGGATACCCTCAGGAAACGACCCAGTGAAGCCCTCTGGACGGCGCAACCAGATGGCCTCGTGAAGGCTACCCTGCCAGAAAGCTGTCGAGAAGTCGAGGGAGTTCAGCTCGTAGTCACGCTGAGCTGCAACGTGTAGCAACACCCGAAGAGTGGTCATCTTCGGGGTGGGGGAGAAGGTCTGAAAGAAGTCGACCCCAGCACGCTGACTGAAGCCTCGAGCAACATAACGTGCCTTGAAGGCAGGAAGAGAACCCGGCGGTCGCTTCACCCTGAAAATCCACATGCCACTGACGATGTTCGCCCCAGGTGGGGGAACCTCGTCGACGTAGGTGCCTGTGGACTTCCAGGAAGCCATCTCTGCGTCCATGGCTGTCTGCCACTGAGAGGAGTACTCACCCGAGATCGCCTCTCTGTAAGAGCGCGGGGTGGGGATGTCAAGTGCATCCGGGTCTCCCTCAGGGGCAAGCAGCATGGTCGCGAGATGGGGTGCAGCGGCCGCAAGGCACTCCAGCTCCTCCTGTCTGTCCTCAAGAACGTCACAGCCAAGGGCAGTACAGCCAAGGGCAGTCTCACCCCCGACGGACGGATGACAGGCAGGGACAGGGTCAGAAACAAGACTCGCAAGGTAGTATAGGCGGTACACAGCAGGAGAGTCAACGAGCTCAGCGACTAAAGCAGACGCAGCAGGAGATGAGAACGAAGGGTCAGTCACCACCGTAGCAAGAAAGCGAGTAACAGTCGGACTGGACGCATGAGCAAGGTCAGACGGAGGGTCAGCAACGTCAGGAAGAGAGGACGCAGGAGGTAACGGCAGGACAACACGCTGTGGAACAGAGGAAGGACGGAGTGTCATATCGTGAGTGCCTGGGACAACCGGAGCACGAGGACGACGCACACGATGCACACGAGTACGCACAGCGGCACTAGGCTTGGGCTCAAGGTCAAAGCTAGACTCAGGCTCTCGACGCTCAGGGGTGGAAGCATGAGTCTCAGGCTCTCGACGCTCAGACAGGGACTGTGTCACCGCAGTGTAAGGAGCAGGAGCAGGCAGTGGGGAGTGCGGTAGCAGCGGCGGCTGAGACTTGTCTGCCGGTGGAAACAGTAACGGAGGAGTAGTACCTGCCACTGGGAAGTCCGTAGCACCTGGCGGAAGATTGAGAAGGTGGCGAAGAGCACCAGCAGCTCCCGTACCTCCAGCACGAGCA